AAGCAGTAGAAGACGGCCCAAGTGCTTGGGCCCCTGCACTCATGTGAGAGACCTGGAAGAAGCTCCTGGCTCCTGGCTTCTGATCAGCACAGTTCTGGCCATTGCGGCCAACTGGGGAGTGAATCATTGGGTGGATACCTCTCTCTCTGTCTCTACCTCTCACTGTAACTCTGTCTTTCAAATAAATAAAAATAAATCTTTAAAAAAATTTATTCACTTTTTTGAGAGGCAGAGTTACAGACAGAGAGAGATATCTTCCATCCACTAGTTCACTCCCCAAATAGCTGCAATGGCTGGAGCTGGTCCCATCCAAAGCCAGGAACCAGGAGCTTCTTCTGGGTCATCCACGTGGGTGCAAGGGCCCAAGGACTTGGGCCATCTTCTACTGCTTTCCCAGGCCACAGCAAAGAGCTAGATGGGAAGAGGAGCAGCCGGGACACGAACCAGTGCCAATATGGGATGCCAGCATCGCAGGCAGAATGTTAGCCGACTACGCCACAGCACTTGCCCCTGCCGACTGCTTGACATTTCATATAAGTGAGAGCATATATTGCCTTTTGTATCTAGGTCCTTTCACTTGTCATAATCATGCGTTCAGGATTCATCCACAGTGTAGCATGTTTCAGTATTGCATTCCTTATTATGGCTAAATAAAATTTAATTATTTGGATATACGATATTTTGTTCATCAGTTCACCCGTTGATGGACATTTGTGTGGTGTCCACCTTTTGGCCATTGTTTTACAGGGCTACAATGACCATATATGTCCAGATTTTTGTTTGGAAACCTGCTTTTTTTTTTTTTTAAGATTTGTTTATTTATTTGAAAGGGAGAGTTACAGAGATGCAGAGGCGCAGAGAGAGGTCTTCCATCTGCTGGTTCACTCCCCAAATGGCTGCAATGGCTGGAGCTGTGCCAGTCCCAAGCCAGGAGCCAGGAGCCTCCTCCAGGTCTCCCATGTGGGTGCAGGGGCCTAAGAACTTGGACCATCTTGTACTGCTTTCCCAGGCCATAGCAGAGAGCTGGATTGGAAGTGGAGCAGCCGGGACTCGAACTGGCACCCATATGGGATGCTGGGACTGCAGGTGGCAGCTTTACCCACTACCCACAGTGCCAGCCTCTGGACACTTGCTTTTAATTCTTTAGGGAATATACAGGTAGAATCGTTGGATCATGTTAATTCTGTATTTAACTTCTTGGAAACCACCAAAGTGTTTTTGCACAGTGGTTACACCATTTTACATTCACTCTGGCCCTGTCTAAGGGCCCCGATTTCTCTACATCCTCACATTTTTTTTTTCTTAAACTATGGTCATCCTAGTGGATGTGAAATAGTATTTCAGTATGCTTTGATTTATACTTCTCTCTTGTTGAGCATCTTCTCATGTGCTTGTTGGCTTTCTGCTCTTTGGAGAAATATCTGTTAGGTCATTTGCCTATTTTTAAAGATTGATTTATTTATGTGAGAGGCAGAAAGAGCAAGAGACAGAGAGAGAGGCCTTCCATCTGCTGGCTCACTCCCCAAATGGCTGCATCGGCTAGGGCTAAGCTGACCCGAAGCCAGGAGTCAGGAGCTTCTTCTGGGTCTACCGTGTGGGTGCAGGGGCCCAAGCACTTGGGCCATCTTCTGCTTCTTTCCCAGGCCATTAGCAGGGAGCTGGATTGGAAGAGGAGCAACCAGGACACAACCCAGTGCCTGTATGGGATGCTGGTGCCACGGGCAGAGGCTCAGCCTACTACACCCCAAGGCTGGCCCCATTTGCCCATTTTTAATGTAAATTTTCTTTTAACATTTTGCAACTCAAATATTTAAAAATTATGCATAAGAAATACTCTGTTTCTCTGTGGTAGTAGTAATGAAGAAGAATTTTTAATGAAGCATTTCATAAGCTATGAAACTAGATTATAACTATGAAACTATACCTATTAAATTTCCTGGATAGATAATCACTTTTCTGTTTCGGGGATAGTGTTTTATTCCTTGCATTATGAAATAGAAAAAGTAATGGTGATTTACTCCATCTGTTTTATTTTTTTTAATGTTCGTATTAGCTGCTACCAGCCAACCTGATCAGTTAAGGGACGCCAGTCTTGCTAAGATGGGTGCTGGGAATGGGTGCCGGCCTGGCCGCTTCTCCTTGCACCTCCCCTCAGTCATTCTGGACTTTTCCCTCCGTGTTTCCTCACAGCCGCTTCCCGAGAAGTTTGTGGTGAAAGGCGTCGTGGATCGCTTTTCGGAAGAGTTTGTGGAGACCAGAAGAAAAGCGTTGGATAAATTCCTGAAAAGAATTACGGATCACCCCGTGCTGTCTTTCAATGAACACTTTAACGTCTTCCTCACTGCTAAGGTAAGGACGGATCGCGCGTGTTCCTCCCCCAGCTGTCATTCCTCGAGCTCTTTCAGGAAACCCCGGCTTGATCTCCCACAAGCCACCTCCGCACACGGCCCGCTGTAGCAGGTGCCGTAAGGTCGCTGCACTCCTGGGTGCCCATGCGCCTGGTTCTGGGTTAGATTTCAGGAGACGCCCCCCACCCCCCACCCCAGCCGCCCTCTTCCGCAGCCAGTGGAGGAAGTGAGGTTCTCACTTGTCAGAAACAGGGAAGCGTTTCCTGAAGCGCCCCTCGGCAGCCTTGGCTCCGTGGAGCCAGTGGGCAGGGAGATTGCCGCACGTGGAGAGAGCGCCCTCCACAGGAACGCTGCGCTTGCTTGCAGCCTCACTTTGCAGACGGGATCTGAAGCTCAGAGGGCTCCCGCTTGTTCAAGCGGCATCACTCAGGTTTGCAGCCCGGCCTCTCTGGCCCCTGAGGTCCCGCCTCCCCTCTGGATCAGGCTGACCGTCCCTCGCCTGCAGCCCCGTTCTTGTCCGGTGAACGTTTCCCAAGCTTTCGCCAGAGAGATCTTTGGGTCCTACCTAGCTGTCAGATCCTAGGCTTTCAAACTCAGTTTGGTTGTACATTAGCTTTGCTTTGTGCTTCCCGGTGGCAGAACTGACCAGAACATCTGAGGGGCTCCACTCTGACTCTCTGCAGAGAGGGGCCCCGTGGTCAAACTCTCCCGCTCTTTCCTTCCAGGTCCGTCTGGTTAGTTTCAGGTATCACATTCCCATACTCGGCCGGACACAGGGGGTCCCGTGATGGCAAGGCAATCAGGGCCCACGTGCTTCCCAGTTTTCTTTTCTAAATTGCAAAGTCGGGAATTGCTTGCAGGTACCCCTGGTGGGTGTTGGAGGCTTTAGAGAGGGCTCCATCCTCCACTCAGTGGAAACCACTTGGCAAAGTCTCGTCTTTATCTCTGAAACCTCATTTGGCATTTAGCCTTGTTGATATTCCTGTTCATTGTCTGTTTTTCCTAGAGGCCGTTTTCACCACAGGTTGAATTTGTATGCTTTATAAAGTAATTATTTCTGGGTGAACTGATCCTCAGATGTAGTTCCTTTAATTTACACTCAAAGTAAAATCCATCCCGCTCTCCGAAAGTGCAACTCACTTTCTTTCTTTCTTTCTTTTTCCTTTCCTTTCCTTTCCTTTCCTTTCCTTTCCTTTCCTTTCCTTTCCTTTCCTTTCCTTTCCTTTCCTTTCCTTTCCTTTCCTTTCCTTTCCTTTCCTTTCCTTTCCTTTCCTTTCCTTTCCTTTCCGATCCAATGCGCTTCCTGGGATCCAGCCTTCTTCCCAGCATACAAACAGACAAGAGGTCTTGCTGTGAAGCTTACCAAACTAACTGGGGTGCTTTCTCTCTCTCCATCTTTCATGCACTGCAAGTAAAGATGTAATTATTTTATATT